ATGTGTTTTTGATCTTCATTTTAATTCTCTCTTCCTGTTCCCTTTTCCTGGGGAAATGAGTGAGAGATTTTCTGTTTTTCTTAAAGTCAAGGGGAAAGATATGAAATAGATGGAAACTAATGTTTAATTTCTGTATTCTAAGTTGTATATTTAGGAGGGTGGATAAACAAGCTTTGTTTTGTTTTAGCAGAGGAAAAAATGAATTCCCAGCAGTGAGTAAGTAGAATTTCCTCAAATATTCTTAAGCTGTAATGAACACAGGTCTTTCATATTGCTGGATTAAAGATGTAGAATTATGCTAAATACTGAGCCTTTTTTCTCCTGCTGTTAGCATATGAATTTGCAGCACTGTCTTCCTGCTTGCGTCTGTGCTAAGGTGCCTCTCTCCCTGCACTGCTGCCAGTGGGAGCACAGCACGAATGACAGATTAACCTGGTTACTGAGATAGTACAGCCTGTCGCCTGCCTCTCTGGAGCAGGTCTGCAAGGGTGACACAACCATTCACCTTCCGCCCTTCCCCACAATGCCCCGGAATCTAATGTTTCGTTCCCCATAGAAACCAAACTGCATTCTCATGACTTCTGGCCTGGCTCTGCGGTGAAGTTCGACTCCAAGTCACTGGTCTTTGTGTTTTGAGTGCTGCTTAGTGAACGTGACGAGCTAGCGACACGTAAGCGAGTGCCTCTCGCTGCAGGGAGCTGAAGCGATTAACTGACGGGAAGAGCAAGCCCACCGCCTTTGTGTTAGTAAATACTAATGCTGAAACCTGCTGGTGACAAATTAAAATCCCATCTATCCTAGGGTTTGTACAAACCTTAAGGTGAACTATTTCACAATAGATGAAAGCTTTCTTGAAAGAATAAGCAGCATCTTTCTGGGCTCATCTTCAAAGACCCGATGAATTACATTTTCTTTCTTTTTCTTTGTTGTGCAGTAATTGGTTCTACTTCATGCTATCCTGATTAGAAGTAGAAAGAAAGGTTTCTTTTGATGGCCAACTTCTTCCCAAAATGTTTTGCTTTATAGGGGAATGTGATTTTAGCAGAACAGTGGAGAAGTGAGAGCATTTGCCACTTTTAAGTAGTGGTTATTGAAAAAAGGGTAAAACTAGACAGACATGGCTATTTCCATTCCAAGCATTGTCAGTGCAGAAAGCTTGCAGAGAGGTTCAAAGGGAATGCATAAATGCTAAGTTGTGTGGGCCACGGTAAAAATCCGGGGAGAGAATTAATGGAAAGAGAAATAAAGCTAGAAACATGCTGCCTTTAGGGATGCAGCTTTCCAAGCCTTCCAGGTATTAGAACGTGTGGTTCCTTCTCCAGGTACTGGAAGGACTGAAGTTCTTTGTTTTGTTTTTTTTTTTCCCAAGACAAGCAGTGAACAAGTGCATGTGTGGCGTGGGGGGGTTTGTTGTTTTGCTTCCAAAGTGCTTGCACTCAAACCTTGGTTTTGCAGCGTGTCTGTTCAGATTGCTCCATGTTTGAGGAACATGGGTGGTGGGCAGAGCCCTCACAGGTGGCCTGGAGAGTTGTCTGGAGAGCAGAGGGTTGCAGCTCTGCGAGCAGTTTAGTCGGGTGCACATCTTGCTTGTCCGAAATCTACCTCTCCTTCTAATAAGCTGTTGATAAGCAGACTTGGAGGTGGGAGATGTTGAGGTTTGGCAGACCAGATGATGGTATATGCAGGAGCTGCTCTGGTAGCAGGCGCAGTTGTCCGAGCAGCTTTTAGCTGTAAACTAGTCGCTCGTGCAAAGCAGAGTAGTGAATGTCTCTAGAAAAGACTGCAGGGTTTGTGTGTTTAAGAAAGCAAGCGCAGGGCGACCTTCCCCCGTGGCTCTCGCTACCCACATGTCCCACGGGACTGGTGGGAATGAGGTCCCTGACTGCTGCGCCACCATTCTTGCCCTGTCTCCTTGCTCATCTCAAAGTATGCAAAAGCCTCGTGGAATGTTTTCTAATGCCATTCCGAACAGGAGGGCTGAGGGGGCTGTGCAGGCAAACACAGGAGACGACCTAGATGGAAACGCAAATGTGAGGCAGCGATTTCCAAAGGTACCTGAAACCCCTTCCAGCTGATGCCTGTCCCTGCGTGGCTCTCGTGGCTGCCTGCTGAGCGCGTGTCCAGCCCATGGCAAAGCTGGTGCACTTGGCTGCTGTGGTTGGATTGTTCCTGCTTTCAAAGCAAACTCCTCCTTCAGAACTAGGACAGATGCATCTTCAAGTTGCACCCTTACTTTTTTGTAAGGTAGATGCATCCCTAGCCAGCAGCCTCTTAAGGGTTTGCAGTGAGACATTGATACTTAATTGGTTTTGGTATTTTTGAAAATCTTCCTTGAGTTCTGCAGTTGGAGTCCAGGCAGCTTAACCCCAATATAAAATATCACTGTGGGATGTTGCATGCTGTTTAGTGAAATCACTATCTGAACAAAGCTGTTCGATGACAAAAAATGGCAGAAACTCCTATATTTAGCCAAAACTACAGAAAGGAGCTGGATTTCAGCTCCCTTTTGTGACAGTGGAGGTCAGTGCTCACATTTGATCTAGTTAAGGCCCTTCTGGTTATAGCTCAAAGCAGGACATGTGCCTTATGTTCACTTTTATAAATAGAAAAGTAGCGTCTTCTCATGGTCAGTCTGTCACACAGCCGCACTGCTGCGTATTCACCTCTGCACTGCACAGCATGGAGTTGTCCTTCTCCAAGCTTGACTTTGTCAGACTGCTGAAACAGCCCAGCAGATTCATCTATGGGATAACAGCAAACCGAGCCAGCCGCCTGGGGCCATTTCCAGTTTTTGTCATGTTGTGATCTAAGTGGTGCTCTGAAAATAGAGGAGGTGGTGAAAGGAGTTTGTGCTTGTAGAGATTTTTGGAGGTATAGTACAAGTAGACAGAGTAATTGGCTGCCTAGTGAGGTATTTTTTTATATGCATATATTTTATGTTAATGTAGATTGTGTAAGGGAACATTTTGGACTAGTATGAGCTGCCTTTATCAGAACCCTTTAAGACCATCTGTGTTCCACTTTCTTGACACCAGCACAGTCTGAGAGATTTAGAGGCTGTGGAATTGAAACAGAGAGCAAAAAGTGACCCTGCACTGGAGTTGTACTCTAGACAGCACAGCGTGTTTCTTCCCGGTCTGAATCCTCCAGGACAAGCAGATATCTGTGGTGGTACCATGACAGCTTTGTGTTCTCACCAGCTGTGGAGATCTATGAAATGAGGGTTTGCATGTACGCAAATATGTCCTAGCTTACTACATGTATTCTGCAGGAAGGGAAGACATACATCCTCTTTTTGTCTGAAAGATGCTACTTTGGTTTAAGGACAACTTACTTTGCTGGGATTATCAGGATTTTGCTTGGTATATGTTGAATCTTTTCCAGTTGACTGTAGTGGTTTTGTCTTGGTCCCTGGCACACGAGTCTTAAAAAGTTCGTGACTGTTTCTCTAACTTTACGCTATTGCGCTTTTGCTGTACCCCCTAGCGCCTCTTTAGTTGGTTAAAGCTAACTTAATTTAAACTGAAGTCTGGTCTGCCTGAATGCGTTTAAAAACTTAGCTTATGCAAAACCAGCGCAAACAACAAGCAAACCCAGTGTGTCCTGCGTTCTGCCAGCTGCTTTAACTAGCTTTGCGGTAGAATTTTGCAGGTTTTCCTTCGATGAGGTTGATTCTTTCCCATCAAAACAGAGCTAGAGTGGTTTCATTAGCACGTAGCAGCTTCTGAATACATGGTTGTTCTGCCATATGCTGGTAGCAGCTCTCCCGATAGCAATCGAACTGACATTTGGAGACAGATTTGTTGCAGCAAAGTGGTGTTTGCTTAAAAAAACAAATTTGTGTCCTGGGCTCCATAGTAGTCTTCTCTGTATTTCTGTTCTGTGAACTGGAGGAAGTGGGTTTATATTGGTGTGATGATGGCTTGATAGCTCTGCAGGCTGAAAGTCACAGCACCAAAGGAAAGGAGCATCGTGTCAGCCGGAAGCCTTAGTTGCAGCAGCTAAACATCTGCCTGAATCTGTCACCGTCTATGGATTTTGGAGGACATTACAGATCCAACCTTTGCATTGCAGCTGTACAAAGCTATATTTAACTTTCCACATGGAAACGAAGTGACCTAATGCAGGGTGATATTAAAGATCTAACTTACATTATGCTTATGTCAAGATAAATGTTCAGAATATCCCACTCTGCCACATTTCAGATATTAAATTAGCTCTGGAGATGCTAATAAGTAGATGGTTTGGGTAGTTAGTTTGAATTTTAGGGTTGCTTCATTTCTCTTGGCACTCGGAAATCCCAAACGGACTTGTGTTCCTGAGGGGAGAGGTTTTAGCGAGGACATGTGTGACTGCTTTTGAGGGCAGCAATATTTTGAAGAACAAAGTAGTGTGCATATATAAATGGAGATGGAGGAGAAGACTTGCTGTAAACATGGCTAGCATCATTTCTGTGATATCATTTGTTAGCATATTCTCTGGTTTGGAAACAAACAACAGGCTGTAGGGTAAGTGAAGTCTGTTGTGTGGAAAGATGCTCAGCTGTGCTGAATGATATTTAAAGCATAATGTTGACAAGGTTCAAGTATAAAGCTATACTTTTTTCAGCTTAAAATCATAATTATTAGGTAGAATTAGACCTCAAATTCATGAGATCTATAGTATCTCTTTAGAATAAAATAAAACCTTGGTGAGTTTCTATTTCTTATCAGCTTAAGTATGTCTTAATATTAAAAGTATTACACTCAGTGGAAGTGCCAGGATTTCTGAAATAAAATGCGTTCAGAAATGAGGAATAAAAGACATTGCTGAGCTGGTTTCTTACTAAAAGACAGACCTCGGATAATTTAAAAAAAACTGTGCTTCAAAAATGCCTAACTGTAATAATGGAAAATATTAGTAGTGCATTCTTTATGGTGATGTGCAGTTTGGAAGTGTCTAGTCTCACTGAACTTAGAGATAACTTAAAACTTTCTTCTTTCTTCTTTGATTCATTCCAGGACCAGTTTGACAACTTAGAAAAACACACGCAGTGGGGTATTGATGTTCTGGAAAAATACATCAAGTTTGTAAAAGAAAGAACAGAGATTGAACTCAGCTATGCAAAACAGCTTAGGTAAGTTGAAATACAAATCCAGGGTTCTGGATTGTATTTGTTTACGCCCTAAATTTATTCAAGGTTTGTTGTTTGGGCAACTGAAACTAGACCAAGTTGCTGCAGAAAAGCTAAGGTGCTTGCTTAAATTTTGCAGGTTCCAAATGGTAACATAATTTCATAATGAATTTTGCTGGAAATTTTGAAGTCATTTAAAAAAAAAAAAAAAGTTGAAGGGGCAAAGACACAACAATTGAAACACAATTGACACATTTGAAACAATTCAATTCATCTGTAAATTCTCCATTTCTTTGGCAATTCATTTCTTTTATAAAGATTCCTTTTACCTACAGAATAGCTTTAAATTGTAAATTATTTCTACTAATCTCTAATACTGTTCCTTTATCAACCCTGCTACAAATCCTATGTAAACAAAACTAAAGTGATTGAGTAGCATATTAGGGTTTATTCATAGTGTGCTCATCGTTAATGGCCAAGGCTTTGGGTCGGTCTTCCACTGTAAGGGTGTTTTTTTTTTGTTTGTTTGTTTTTTTGTTCCCCCCCCCCCCATGAAATTGGGGCTGCACAGAGGAGCCGAGGGGGTTAGGAATTCAGCAGAATGGCTAACAGCAAGTTAGCGATCAAGTTGAGCATTTGTATTCGTAAGAAAGGCTCTTGTTGTATGGATGCTGGAGAAACTGCAGGTCAAAAAGTCAGTCTCTGCCCTTGGACACTTAATTAGTCAGATTGCAGCATATGGTTTGATTTGACTGCTGTGGAATCTTGCTACTGTTCTTGAGATATGCACAGAATCTCTGCTCTATTCAGTAGACACATGATAAGCAGCTAAATTACTGGAAATTCCTGGTAGGTATTTTCTACTTTGCTGGTTGGACCATCAAGCTGGAGATAAGAGTACAAATAATGTGATCCAGACCCAGAAAAAGGACGAGTCGAGGTCAGATCCAGTGTAGATGGGCAAGAGGGGAGAGGAGCTAAAACCATTCCCAGAATGGATAGCCCCTGGCCTGCATTCCTAAATAGGGTGGAAGAAACTGGGCCCAAACAAGGGTTAGGCAGAGCCTGCAGTACAGAGGGGCCCTGGGTCATAAGGGCCTGCAGGTACTAAGGCAGAAGTGATGGAGGAGGCAATGGGGGTGATACCTGGGGAGAGGAGTGCAGGGCTGGAGCTTCCTTGTCCCTCCTGTACCTTTTTCTGTTTGATGGTGATGCACTCCTCCCTTCTTCCCAGTATTTATAGTAGAGACTGAGATTTGAGATTATGGTTGGCCTCAATGTACCCAGACAGCTTCCATGATGGAGGGATAAAATAGACTGTCTAATGCTTGTGTTGCTTTTGAAATGCACAATGTCCCATTATTTACGGAGGGTAGGTGTGTAGCTAAGCCCCTGCTTTTATGGTGCTGGGCTTTCTGGGGGGAATGCCCCAAGGATTCCCCGGGGGGTTTTGCCGTAGACAAGCAGGAAACAGAAGATGAGTCGAGTAGGAGCAAATCACTCACATCCTAGGCAATGAGAAGAGATTGAATTACAGAGGTGGAGTGAACTGAAATTGCTGCATTGGGAAACTCCAACAGATTATCTGCGTGATATTTTTTTTTTCCTTTTGTCTGCCTAATGAAGAAAGGTATCTGAGAAACACTGAATTTTTCGAGATGCTGGATTTTAAGTGTGAAGAGTTTGAGGAAATTAAAAACAAAAGTATTTAAGCAAAGTGGGAGAAAGTCTCAGACACAGGAAGGCTGAGACTCTGAACTGCTGAATTCTGGTCCTTACTCTGTACCAGACTTCCAAAACCAACTTGGTCAATTTGTTTATTCTCATTTTATTTTAACTCTTCATGTAGGATTGCGTTTCTGCCTTCAACTGGGGGTATGATTTAAAAATTAATACACTCAGCCCTTGGGAGCCCTGTGACACAAAGATATTTGGAGTCATGTGAGAAGTTAGAGATGTAAAAGGGGAAAAAAATGAAGGTCTGTCAAATATTAAGATAAAACAGTCTTGGGTGTTCTTTAAAAAAAAAAAAAAAAGAAAGAAAAGAAAAAGCATGTGCTTTTAATATTATCCTGCCCAGCCTGTGGCAAAACTTTTCTATTTGTATCACATCTATTTAGTGTGGAGGGACTGCACCATATCACTGCGTGTCATAACATGCAGACATACTATAAAAAGGGAGAAGCTAACACAAGATAGTCTGATGGGAGAATTTAAATCAAAGTTTTATTTTTAGTGTAAGAAAGTGCTGAACTCCTTCAGTTTCTTGTGTGGAATTTGTGGGGTTTGTTTGGTGTCTGGGCTCCCTGGAGAGGAGAGAGACATGAAAGAAGTGGAAATGAGGGAGCAGAGAAAACAATCTGGAAAGACAGAAAATGCTGCAGACCAAAAAAATAAAAACATGAATCGGAATCAGGTGTAGCAGCCAGCACTGAATCTTAGCAAAACTGCTCTTTTATTCTTTTGTTCCTTCTGCCTGGAAATACAGAATACAGCCGGACTTCATGAGTGTCATCTGCTGCAGCGAGTCCTGGGAACCTTGCTCCTTGAGCATGGAGTAGCACCTGCTGCCGGGTGACAATGTGTAGCTTGTCCCTGTGCCCAAGATGAGTAGTGATAAGGACTGGAAAAGGTCTTTGCCTTCGATGGGGCACAGGGGGGTCTTGTGCATGAGGAGGACTGGAAATCAGGTTTATTGGTTTTATTATTGTTACTATTTACGTATAATTTAAATATAATAACAGAGCTCAATGGGGCCTGGTGCTCTGGGTGCTACTACAATGTAAATCAAATGTCAATCGTATTTCTGACAAGTTACCTAGTCACTGCAAATAAAACTGAAGTCCCACGGTATTTGGCAGTATCTGTATGCAGAGATTGTCCAGTCATACTACAGGAGTTTTCATTTTAATTTATATGTATGTATGTGTATTTTTAATTTTAGGAACCTCTCAAAGAAATACCAGCCCAAAAAGAACTCCAAAGAAGAGGAAGAATACAGGTATGTTCATGGAGCTAGGTGAGAGTGCACTGATGTTTGGGAGGGGAAAAAGGTTTAGATCACTGACTGGGATTGGAGGACTGTAAACTAAAGGCTCTGTAAATGATAATTATATAGGACATAATGATAATGTAGATGATAATTAGTAAGGACATAAATCATACCAGCAGAAGTGGGCTCATAAGGTAGAGATTATGGAATGGATTTTCAAAGAAGTTTGGTTGTTAACTACTCTGTTTTCTCAGGATATCAGAATTGTAGATGCGTTGGGATTGTTTTCTGGGCACCTTAAATTTCCAGCCAGACTAGGTCATCCTGATTCTTTGACATGAATGACCAGACTGTAATCAGCTTCAGCAGGAATAAAGCACTTGTTAATCTAGCCTAAAACTTGAGCAGTCTGTATAAGCATTAAATTACTCGAATGGCCTGCCAGCACAGGCTAGCAACTTGATAAAGGGATAATGTTCTGACCCCTTAGGAGAAGTTGCTGATTCCTGAAGAATGAAGTGACAGGACGTACTTGTATCTCCTGAATCCTGGAACAGGGTGCCACGTGACTTGCTGCTGTTTGAGGATATTGTGTTGCCCCAACTACCTGCTGTTCGCTTGAGCCTTCAGAGCACATCTCCCTGGCGGAGGGTGGCTGCTGTGGTGCTTACAGACAGTGACAGTGGTGTCAGAGCACAACTGCTTCCCTGACACCTGGGAAATGCATACGGAGGATGACAGATCACGTGTCACACAACCTGCTTACCCTTGATGAGAGCACCCATAGTCCTTAGGACAGCCTTGAGAGGAGAAGCCTTCCAAAGGACAGCCCCATAGCCAGGGCTGTAGCCTTTTGCTTGGAGCACTCTGACTACTTTAAAGTTACTCAACTGTTGTTGAGCAAAAAACTCAAGAGACTTTGATAGGGCATTAGCTTGGCTGAAGGCACTGTAGAAAGTTGCAGGACTCTGGAGCCTGCCGTGGGAAGCTGCTCTGACTTCAGAGCCTGGCAGGACACTTGAGCCCTTTACCCTAAAATGTGAAACGTGGGTTTGGATTGGGTCTGTATGATTGTATTAATTTAGATTTTTTGGACCAGACCTCCCAGCTGTTGTGTACAGCTAGTGTAGTGATTCATATTAACAAAGATAACTTAGCTTTTTTTTTTTTCCTCTTTTAAGTTATCAAGATTGTTTGGAATCAGCTATTTATGTCATTGTTTTCTGAGACATTGCCACTTACGTAAGGAAGCTTATATATTATTGGGATATAGGTCCAAATAAAGACTGTTGTGAGAATATTTTACCAGCACATATACCTATTTTGCCTGGTATTTTTACCTAGCATTAGGAAGAAATCTCCCTTTGAGTAGCTGTGCTATAAATGGGTATTTTGAGTTTACTGCATTTTTTAACACATCTGCTACTGCTGAAAAAGAGATGTTAAATGAAATGGTCCATGTGATGTAGCATAGCAGGTCCTGAGCATTCTTTGCCCTTTTAAATATACTGTTCACCTCCTATTTTCCACAGTGCCTCTAAATAACAGCTGGTGTTTTGGCATGTGACCTTTGGGTACCTTGGAACACTGTCTACATTGAGATTGCCTAAAAATGATGCATTTTCAAGCTTCCAGTTCAATCTGTTCTTCAATGCATATTTTTTGCAGCTGGAGATTTCTTTTGACACAGCATAACTTGACTGTGAATGTGACTGCAAAATGTGCCAGCAAAATGTGTTTTTGTCCTCTGCAGGTACACATCAACTCGAGCCTTCCTAGCCACTTTAAATGAAATGAATGACTATGCTGGGCAGCATGAAGTCATTTCAGAGAACATGACCTCTCTTATCACTGGAGAGCTATCACGCTATGTGCAGGAGCTGAAACAAGAGAGGAAATCGGTAATTGTTTTTTATTATTAATAATTCCTAAGACAGATAAAGTGTCAGTGAAGTTCAATGTTATACAGATTTAGTATGTAGTAATAAACATGAGCTTTGCTAATGAACCAAGCACTGCGAAAATGGGTTACGCATTCTGGCCAAGTCACCCAGCCATTTGAGTCGCACGTTCTAAAATCCAACAGCGATGCTGTTGGAGAACGTCTGCTAAGTAAGGTCAGAGACCTGGCTGTGCTGGGTCCGTTAGCCAAAAGCTTGTTTAGGGAAGAGTCCAGTATTGCTGTGCAGAGCATGCATTGCGCAGAAAAGCTCTAGTTCTGAAACTCGCTGAAAGTATCCTTTTTTAGAAAGCTGAATCACGTTTTCCTGTTTTTATGACAAATGTGGCCAACAAACTGTTTAAAATTTATTCCTGTTAAGAAATATGGGGTCCTTATGGCTTGGTGGTGGTGGGGTGTCTATTTTTCAACCGGCTATTTTCCAAGACTGCTGGAGTGTTACAGTTTTGTGCTCACATTCTGTATTAGATAGCCATTTATCAACCCATTTGCCAGCTATAATATGTGTTCAGAGCTGGTTAATTTACATGTTATCAGCTCTAAAAGACGTATAGCTGAAATACAGCTCTTGCCTACTTGGAAATCTGCTTTATGCCCACTCACCCCATGGGAAAAAAGTTCAAGTATTACTGGCACAGATAGATAGAACTGTGCAATGTCAAAAAATGTTTACTTGCGATTATAAGAATATAAACCACTGTCAGTTAATGCCACTAAAACAATTGTCTAACAATTTGTTAGAGATTTAAAGTAAGATGAAGAGGCACTTGGTATCTTTCAAGAAAGGAGTGTGAGCAGTAGCTGTATTGGAGGTGGTTGTTTTTCATGAACTTGAGTAGTAAATATGGCTCATGTAATTATCTAGTGGATAAATGACAGCAAATTAACATCAGATGAGTAAGACCCAATATAAAACTAACTTCAAATAACGTATGGACTGATGGGTAGTAGCCAGCAACAAGGGAACAGAAGGTGGGGGGGGGAACATAGTAAATCTACCTGCTTTTCCTTGTGACTTAGCCTCGAACAGAAGACAGATGTCAGTCAGTGGTTGGTTTTGTGGTTGTAACATGAATATAAACTGCATATACTATGAATCTTTGGCTGATTCCCTCAGCCTTCCTCATCTGTGAGCAAGTGGGCTTGATGAGAAAAGTACTTTTGTCTTCAGGCATTTTTCTTACAAAGTCTCTCTCTCACTTTACACTATAAAACACGAAGAATACATCAGCCATGCTGGGATCTGCAGGAGGGTTGCTCTGTAAATATCACAGAGGTTTGATGGCCTGGGAAAACCCTGATGTTACAAATTGATGAATTGGGATTTCCAGAAATTTTGCGGTTAAGAGTGCTCCTGCTCACTGCTTGGTGTAAATGGTCATTATACCAGCAGCTGTTATGAGCTCCAAGAAAAAAAGATCATACCTGGGACTAGGGCTGCGGGTAGGAATGGGGAGAGCCATGCTGTTGTCCACAGACTCTTCTGTCATCTGGATCAAGTCATTCAGGTGACTTAATACCTTTAAAATGGTGTGAACTATTCCCGTGGGAGATAGGAGTGACCATGCAGAGGTGTCATAAATGTGCAAAGGTACTTGGCTGTGAGGCAGAAAAAGGTCAGGCAAATTTTCATCTTTAGAAGTTTGGGATACTACAGGAAAGATGTACTTAGTCCAGGTCATGGAAGAGGAGTTTAATGATCTTTAAATATGTGGACTTTGCGTGTCTGCATTACTGCATTCCCATGCTCATTGAGCTCTATTGATTGAAGTGGAATTGCAGCAGCAGTTGATAGGAGTCATGGATCATGCTACTTTGCTTCCCCCTTTGGCAAGCATAAGCCATAAACCTGCAAAGAGGCAACACGGAACCTACTAGTTGTTTAGTTCCCTGCTGGATAAAATTCATCTTGAATCCACTTTTCAGCTATGTTTGGCTTGTTTGATTACTGTAAAATGTGTGACTCTGTAATGCCTTCTGTATAAGATAGCTGCTAATGGTGATAATATGGGAGGAAGCAGCTAATCAAAATCTCCTGGGACGACCTGGAGGTTGGATGCGTGGGCCAGTTGGCAGATTCACAGTGTTTTGGCACTGCTAATGCAAAGTCAGATTTTTTTTTTTTTTTTTTTTTTTTTTTCCCTCTGACAAGATTTGGCACTTGGGAGAGTTCTGGGTTTCCCTTATGATATGGCACGTCACACGCTTTGTTGCGTGATGTTTTGATCGTCAGAAGGCTGTAAGAAAGAAAAAAAAACAGTCAAAGACTATGTTCTTGTGACACTTCAGTAGCAAAGGTCATTGAGCACTCCTAATTTTCCCCCTTTATGCATCCTTCCTCCAGAGGATAATGCAGCTGAGTATTTATCCTATTGCAGATGTTTGCCCTTGCAATCGTGCATACACCCTGCTTGTTTTCCACGTGCAGTGCGAGCAGGGAGGAGGGAGAGCTCCTCACACTGTTTCACTTCTTCCCAGATGTCCAGTGAAGTGAAACTCATCGTGGGGCAGGTTCCTCCCTTTCACTTCTTCTTGCACTCTCCTGATCTTAGTGTGTTCGTGCCCTCATGCGAGTACTTCTCGTCTCCAGCGAGGATCCTGATGCCTGCCGCAGGGTCCTCCTTTAGGTATCGTGCTGTATATGAAGGTCATGCCCCATCTGCCTTCCTCTTGAGGCCAGATGTGCGTGACTGAATTTCACCTCACCGTGGCAAGGCCTCCATCACCAAACAACACAAGTGATCTTGTCATGGAAGACTCCTCTGGATTGGAGAAAAAGGAAGAGTTTATTATAAAAGTTACCCTTTTGAGTGGGAACCTGATAGGAAGCTGAAAGGAGCCTAATTCGGATTTTGATGCATGAGAGTACTTGTACATTAGCGCTTTATGAAAACATCTAAAAGGTGGATAATTCTAAAGAGTTATCAAGTATTTCTTTGTCTGTTGAGGCATCAGTTGTACATCTCTTAGCTTTCTTACCACTGCAACGCTTGTATGGAACCATTCCAGACACACTCTTTAAGGAGGGTGGAGATGTTTGGATTGGTGGCATCTCTTGGTTTTGAACCAGTGGAAAAGAAATTTGTGGGCAAGATCTGGAAGTCAGTGTTTACTAGGAAATGGAAGAGCCAAGGGCCAGTGCCATGATCCTTTATTCCTGTTCTTGCAGAAGGATTTAAAACCGAAAACATCATCTCTTCTTCCTACCCTAGTTTTTAGCATTAGCATCAGATCACCCTTTGTGAAGCCCCTGGGTTTGATCTCCTACAGTGCTTAAGCACAGCTGAGCATGCAGCCTTTAAGGCCCTGAGTAGTCCCATAGAAAGAATTTGCGGATGGGGGACCCTCTTTCCAAATAAACTGGCCTCCCTGTATTTGAGCTCAGAGCCTCGCTGGCAGCACTCCGGGCCTGCTGCCTTGAAGGCAGCTGGTTCAGCCGCCTGGAGAAGCACTTGAGGAGCAGCTGGTGGCTGCCAGCAGCCCTGCGGCCCCGCTCCCCCGTACTGCGGAAACACAGCGCTGCCCTGCACGCAGCAAGAGCAGCAAAGGGGAGTCGCTCCGTTCTTCGGGAGAAATCACTCAGTTCCAAGTTAAGAATTGCAGGAAAATGTCTTTATAAGGACTTAAGCTGTCATGTAGCATGAAACAGCAAGCTGTTATAAATATTACAACTGCAAAGTATCTCTCAGCTTTGTGCTTGTTTTATGATTGCTGTTGGCCTGTCTCACAGGAGGCCTGAGCAGCTAGTTCTGTTTGTGCTGTGCAGCTGATCCAATCTTTGTCTGAAGCCCGAGAAACTTTGGTCCTAGTGGTCTCTAATTGTGATTCCTTTGGAAAATGTCCCTGCAGGAAGAGACATTTCCGGTGCAGTTAGCCTCAATTTTGATTAGATATTCATATATTCATATAATCTGTGTCAAGGGACACCTAGCTGATGGCTGCCTATTACAAAGAGTAATACTGGCTTTAAGATGGCCCAGGAGAAAGGGGTTATACCACTATATGGAAATATAGTCATGTATTTCATGTCACTGTTCATAGGAATGCGTCTTGCCAATGTTACTGTTATAAGTGACAGAGATAAGACCTTGAGAGCATGTTGCTGTTCTTGGAAACAAAGATACCTTCTGTAGAAGCAGTTTCCTGTCTTTTCAGGTCAGAAGAAAAACATTTTAACGTGGCTTTTTTGCAAGCTGAAGCTAGGAAAACTGGAGAAAAGTGGTAGCATTCTCTAATTTCAGTCTCTGCATATGCTTTAATCGCTGGTTATTATCTTGTGAATCACTTGTAACAAAAATAGTCTAGACTGAAGGAGAAATTGTTACATTAATAGTCCTCCATTAATAGTACTTGACTGGCTATTGATCCAAACTGAGCGAGCCAGTTGTAAGTCAGAGACAAGGGTTCACGTGGTCGGTTTCTGAGATTGAACATCCCTCTTAGCTTGCTGGTATTCTGTGCAACTTGGGCAACCCTTTCACTTAAAATACAATCATTCCTCAGCAAAATCATCAGCTGTAGTGTCCTTTGTAAGGTGCTTTTAGCTGCATCTTGCTTCTCTACTTGTATGCTTAAAGGTCAGAAAGAAGCTAACAGACATCTTCCAAGCTCTTGTGAAGCCTGTGGGCAGGTAACCCCTTTTGATACCAAGGGACAGTAGCAAAAATAACCCTCAGCCTCTTGTGACAACGTTGGCAGCGACAGGCGCTGGATTGTAGGTGCCTCTCCACATTTTGATTGCCACGGGTGAAATCCGAGCCTGGCAGAAGTCAATGAGGGTTTTGTCTTTGACGCTGTGGCCGGGGTTTCTCCGCAGCTGTTACGAGCTCCGTCAGCAGAGCAATGAAAAGAGCACACGGACTCCTGTGATTTGATTGAAAACTAAAGAAGGAACTAAGCCTACAATGGGCTTTTACTTGGGTTCCCAGTTCTTTCAAAAACTCTTCTTCCTTTACTTCAAATCATTAAACTAGCTGGATATCCCCTGAGCTAAGAGGCTTTTAAAAAATATTCTTTGTTTTCTAAAAAGTTGATGTAATCTGCACTTTTTCTATATGAGCCACTTAATGCTGTGCTGAACATGTCTCAAGTCTTTCCAGCTCTTGTGAGATTGCCCGGAATCTCAATTCTGGGGCCTTACCCTGGGAACACAGTCCTGAATAGAGACATCCAGGGAAAAGGCAGCCAAATATGGATGGCCGAGAGCCCCCTGCGAGTTCCTAGTAGCATTGTGCTCCAATACACAGAAAAGGAGGACAGCAGTGGTCACGCGGCCGAAACAGTCTGGCTTGGGCTAATGCTGTGTTTGAAGCTATTTCATGGGTCTAAGGCTTGGGTAAAGTGTTTCGCATAGAAATCTTCAAGTTGTTAGGGTGACTGATGGTGTCTTTAGTTGCCCTAGGTATAGATTAAGGGGAATTAGAGGAAATGGAGCAATGACCATTCTTAAATGCAAACTTCCATTTTAGCATATACAGAATTCACCTCCTTATGGCTTTTTCATGTGAGCTAAAGTTGTAGCACAGGCCTTGCAACGTCTAAAAAGTGTGTAGTTTATTTCGGGGAGTGTTAGTGCCTTTAAAAAGAATATTTTCCTTGTTACATGTTTCTTTTGCATTCTTTTCAACATCTCTCAAAGGATTTGGCTTTTCTGTTTCACTGTTTTGCTTTGGAGAATATTGTTTTTAATCTGCAGCAGATTGCTAGCACTGCTGTTCTATGTGTGCTTTGATTGGGGTGGATGTAGAAAAAAAGGAGATTGGAGGAAACCATGGTTTACAAAGAATAACCACTTCTGCTGCAGATGTCTTTCTGGCATGTTTGCAGTGTAATATATTAATTTGGTGTCTATCTTGTAACCCAAATGCTTAAATGGAAAGCCTGATTAGGGTGCGGTTAGAGCTTTCTGTTTGGAAAGAAAGGCAATATTCTCTATCACTGTGACTGTGCTGACGAAATGCTTGTGACTAATTAGGGATGGTAGTTTTCCGTATGACTTATTAAACCACCAAGTGTCGATTAACCAGTTAAGGTTTTCATTCCATTAAAAAAAAAAAAAAATTAAAATTTCTATTTTGAAACCTCTTCAAGAAAAAAAATGATCTTCAAGTTATTTTTGCTGTTGTTTTTGCTAAACATTGAAACAGAGCAGGAAGACTTTTGCTGCCTCAGAAGATTTTCAAGTCTGTTAAAGGAAGTGAGTTTGCAGAAGTTGAAGATAGTGCAGGGTTTGAGGAAACTGGAGGCTTCCTGTATGACTTGAAGCAGATCACTTAATTGTGCTGTCTCGGTTCTCTTATGTATAAAACAGAGTGTTGAAGTAACATAGGTAGTTGGAAGTAGGATAGTAGCTAGTGCTATTGCTTAGATGTTTGGTGTGGAATGAATTTATGGAAGCTGGGAATTTTCTTGGGGGATAGAGGGTTTGCAGCAACAAAAGGACACTCCATGCTTGTGATCGTTGCCACGTGCGGTTTTCTCATAGCAGGGATGTGTATGTGATATTAAAAAATTAGGGTTGTAAATATACTTAGAAAATAGTTGAAGTAGTACCTGTGTTTCAGTGAAATCCCAGAAACATCATCCTCTTGCATTCCTCAGACTGCTGCTCTATCATATGGCATTTCCTCATTTTCCTTCAATAATCCTCAGCAATGCCCATTTTACATCTTCTCCATTACTGTAATGGAGCTTCTTAAAGCAGCAAAAAATCGAAGAATGCAGTTTTACTGCCCAGGCTTACTGTCTATTTACTATGCAATTTAAGCACTTTGGTAGAGTTAAGTTTGCAGACACGATAAATTTGGAAATGGGATAAATAACAAAAGCAAGAATAAAATGCCATATTTTTTGAGTAGCTTGAAAGTAGTTTAAAAATACAAACTCAAGTTAGCAGGTATGCTTTTGATTTCAGGTTTATCATCCTGCCCAGGAGACAGAAATTGAACAGTTGTTCTGTTGAAATAACCTGGCACGTTGCATGCGTGTGTTGGTCCCCGTGCCCCCCAGGTTTATGGGTCACTGGGAGCACTAGGTTTCAGGCAGACCAGCTGCTCCCAAATCAAGTCCCTTCATCCTCTCCAGCGCAGTGAGCGGCAGGGGGCAGGGGAGCTCGCGGAGGATGATGAAGGCTGGAGGCAGGAAGTGCAGTTTGGAGTCAACCAAGTCATTTTACTTGCAGGTTTGCTGCTTTAAAAACCTCCACATACTCCACACTCATTAGCAAAATGTTTGTACACTATTACAGTACAGTGTTAAATTGTAGTTGCTCCTTAGACTGTTTTCCTAAATTCTTAATTAAAGCGAAGCCTGAAATTAAGAGCATTTCAAAGCCCTGTAGCAAGGAAGATGCAGTATCTTGGTGTCTCACACAGACTTTAAAGGAAATGGGAATTCAGAAATGGAACTAAATTTCCCTTGGAGACTTCCTCCCATCCCACCACTGCAGCAGTTTTCCAGTTGCATATTTTTTGTCGTATCCCGGTGCAGAGAATGAGCTTCTGGAGGAGCCTGGGAAGGTGACAGAGGTCTGAACCACAGGATTATCCACGATGGGCTCTGCAGAGCCGCTTGTTGGGCTGCGTCGCCTTTTATGGCCTTGCTGCTTCACACTCCGTGTTTCCAGTAGGTAGGAGCAGGACAGGCAGATCAAAGTGTTCTGCGCGCCTGTAGTTAAAACATTAGTGACCCTGTGCCCCTCTTCTGCGCTTGGGGAGGCTTACGGAGAGATAAACACCATCCGCTAGAGCACGGGGTGCCCCTACGTTGGGCAGCAGCGAGTGTCCCTGCTCACAGAGGTGCAGGGCAACAGGGGGACAACCTGGAGCGTTCCTGGTGGTGGGCAGCTCTCCCGCTCGCCCTGCCAAGCTGTAGGCTGCTGTCAGGCGTTGTGTGAGATGGAATTGCAGGTTTTAGCCTAAGGAAGTTGGCTCCTCAGCTATGTTGGGGCTGGCTTGTCTGATGGAATCAGAAGGGCCGCTAGGAAATGTCTCCAGCACGTTTACTTGGGAATCTTGTCTCTGGTGCAGGCAATATCAGTTGCTTGAGTGGAAGATGCAGGAAACAGTAGCAGCCAACTGAGGTGCTTGAGGCACTTGTGACCTTGACGTTTGGTGCCAGGCTGGTTCTGAAGTTAAAGCTCTTTTTTATCTTATCTATCTATATATATGTATATATATACACACACACACATACACACATGTATATGTGTGCGTATATACATCAGACTGATAACACGTTGCATTAATTATATATAATGGTAGACGATGCATAGGCTTGAGGATGTTTGAATTTTGGTGAGATATATGAATTTGGGTCCTATCTGGCCATGTGAAACCTGTAGCTTTTAAGCTCACTGTGTGAAACTGTATTAAAATAAAACATCCTGGTCGCAAGCAAAATACTGTAACGGGAAAGGCTACTCTCTCTTCCTATTAGTAATTCTTGTGTATTATTTTAAAAGGTATTGTGTAAGGAGAGTAACCTGTTCTGGCATCAGCTTGGGAATGCATTAGAGTTTGTGGTCTCTTTTTTCCAGCCATGTTATTGACTCGCACAGTGATCTCGAACAATCGCTTCTCTCCAGGAAAAGTGAGGCATGTAGAAGATAGCGGGGGTAATAGATCCTCAAGCATATCCCCTTCTTGGAGGAAGAGCATCGTGTAAGGGCTAGGAATTACTTAAACTGACCAAAAGATTCTTGCTACGAAGGCAGCTGTGCATGTGAGAAGCTCCTCTGTTTTATAGAGCATTATCGGCTGGGAGGTAGCTGACATCTCCATGTGTCCAAGTTTATGGGAGAGGGAGATTTCTGGAGGGGTGCAAAGTAGGAAAGCCCTCCCAAAGGCAACAAGCATCCAGCTCCACAAATGCAGCCTAGCTATCCAGGAGGAAGAGACTTTTGTGTTGAGACTGAAGGAAAATCAGGTTAAATATCAGTTGCTGGAATATGTCAATCAGAGGCATCCTGGTAAGCTCCATGCAGAGAGAAATTTTAATTCCACTCTGGTGCTCAGTCAGTAACCGAAGAGATCCTCTTCAGATGAAAGTGCTTAAGATTTCCTAGTATAGCAAACCAATAATTATGTGTTACAGTGAACAATACAAGGTAGAATTGCTAAAGAGATTAATTAGACTTTGTCTAACTAACGGCTATAATTGATGCAAATATACATCTGCAGCCTGCTGAGACATTGGATAGTCGTTGTACACCTGCTCCGTTTTCCAGAGCTGCAAAACCAGCTGTCAGAAACATTTCTGTTTTTCTCTAGAGCTCCTTGAACATAATTGCCTGTCTGTTCTTTTGTTGTTCAACATGTTTTCTTTTTCTTTTCTTTCTTTTTCGAAACAGCACTTCCACGATGGCCGAAAGGCACAGCAGCATATTGAGACTTGCTGGAAACAGCTTGAAGCGGTAAGTTGAAACTTCTGAGATGTGACATTTAAGCCATTTTTACACTGTCTTCATGGACATGGTTCCAAACATGACATTTGAAAAAGGATAGATGGATAAAAGCTCTGAAAACTGAAGAAATGTGGTATTGAGAACCCTGCTGTCTTAAGTACACTGGGAGGCATGATAGAAACTGATTTCATGATACATTTGGCTTTCCCCACGATCTGTGTATATCATGAGTAGCGTTTCATTTGATATGACTTAAAGTGTGCTGAGCGTTCCAGGAAATTCCGAGTCCCTTGGGTCCTATTTAGATATTCCTCTGTAAGCTGAATAGCTTCCTACTGCACGAGCACCTTGAATAGGACCAGCTCTTGATTATGGTGCTGTTCCTCATAAGTAAATGAATTTGGAGATCAAGATTTATTGCATGAATATGCAAGGAAGTAAGGAGAGAAGAGGATCAGGAGAGGAAACGGTAGTAGCTGAAAGTCCCACTCAAACATGTGCATCTTAGTGGCTTGCTTGTTTTGTTTTCTGAAAACAAGGGATTTAGATGTTGGAAAAGAGTGATTTGGGAGACTAGATGTGAGTAGATGTTGGTGTTAATTGGGAAAGCTTCGAAATACCAAAGATTTTGTGTGCAGATTGGAGCAAAATATGTGTTTATGGTCACTTTGTTGTATAATTAATGTGGAAATATATGCCAGTGTCAACAAGCTAGTCCTAAAATCTCCTTGCAGTAATTACAGCAGATCAGTGTAAGGGCAGAATTGCTTTTTAGCTTTATTTTGCACATTATGTCTGTTTTTCACAGCAGTGACTTTCCTTTTTCTTTTCCAGAGTAAAAGGCGGTTTGAACGGGATTGCAAGGAAGCTGATAGAGCACAGCAGTATTTTGAGAAAATGGATGCTGACATCAACGTTACAAAAGCAGATGTTGAAAAGGTAAGCCAGAGGGAGGAGAGCCTGTTTGTCAGCGTGCATGTGGTTAGATCAATTCCTCAATCCTACCAGTAGTCCTAATGCTCTGAGGCTTCACACTTTTCTTAAGTCTGTTCATAGGCTGATAAAAATAGAGGTGTCTCTGCAGGGACCTGTATTTGCATAAAAGCTATAAAGATGCAGTGAAAACTCAGTCTAACATAGCTGGTGTGGCTAAAATAAGCTTATGCAAAAGCAATTTTAACTAAAAACCTAGATTCTGTAACAGACAAGCTTTGAGGAGTCCCCAAAGAAACAGGTGCTTGCAGTTACCCGCATGCTCTGTGGTTGGAAGGTAAACCTGACTTCATGTGTTGTGGAGCATCACTTCATGTGTCCCCATGGCGTTAATTGTAGTGACATATCACCAGGATGGCTGTTCTGTGCGAGGTGCTCAGCAGGATCACTCTTCATGTTGAGGAGAATCCTGAAATGTTTGGCTGTCACACATGAGATTTAGCTTTTATTTTTATTATACTTGCTGCCTGGTTGCAGAGCTGTTTGTGGCTTTTCACACATTGACCCCAGTGAGCAAAGCTCCTGAGCTTGACTTTAAAACATCCATTTAAATGTTGCTGTTTAGTGTTTTCTCACTTGAGTTTGAATCGGATGTGCAGTATTTAAACATTTAAGTGCAGTGATGCCTTTGTCATTTAAGAAAGCAACAGGAAGGGAGAAGACACTTAAATTGCTTCTGTTCTTGGCCTACACTTCTTGTCTACACATCTGCTCAGAAGATGCAATGTGGTATTTGTGATCAAGATTGCAGCAGTGTGTAGGGGTAGTTTTGTCTTCCACAAAAGTTTGAGTCACATAGGTGGAAAAAAGCCAGGATGTTCAAAGAGGTCAAGACATGATATTACATGCAGATTTGAGTGTGTACTTTGAAATAGAGTAGAATTTAGCACGGAAAATCAGACCAGAAGTGTTCTGTCTTCATTTTACTCTTTGATGAAGTTAAATTCTTGTTTCCTCTTGTGTAAAGTTGAGATCATACAACCGGAGACACTGCTGTTATATATGAAGATCTCTAGCACTGAAATCTGACTATACAAATGTACAAAACCTTTTGTTGCAACATCAGGAAGGGAAAATAAAACATACATAAAAATGATTTATAGCCCAAAATTTCCATTGCAACATGTGGGTTTTGCTCTTCAAAAAGTCCACTTCACTCTGTTAATTCAATTTTGGTAAACCATTTAGTGCCAATTTTCCATAGATCTGTATGATTCTAAAATGTTTCTAGTATGCTGAGCATCATGGAGGTTGGGTAGCAGGTGGCATCAGGGATACACATATTAGAAGTAAGGAAGGTAAATGAAAAGCAAGCTAGAAAATTTCCTTGGCAGTGTTATTGAATATCAAAGAGAAGAATATCCCTGTCATCTCATCACTTTTTAATTCTGTATTGCCTTCTGGGTTTGTCAGGGCACTTCACAGATGAATGTGTATTGAAGGTGTAATGCCATGTGCACCCTTTCTGCCAGAGAGAGATCATCTCTGCTCCCTCTGTGTAAAGAGATTCCCTTAGTTCTACATCTGTTTCTAATGCTGGCTTTTTTGCCAGAGTAAAAGGCAACGTAATAGTTATGTATCAAATAATGTTAGGTAAATTCCAGGAGGCGATTTTTGCTCTTACTCTCTTCTTCTCCATGCTTCCCTTCTGCGTTTCCTTAGCTCTGCACTGGGTGTTTGCAAGCTGCCCTACTAGGCCAGGGGTTTGTGGTGGCTGATCTTTGGAGAAGGCATTAATCGACTTCCCAGTTAGGCTGTCAGTCGGTGGAGTAGAGAGAGAAGGAAAAGGTTATCAAAACGAGTGGAATGTGAAATAATATTACCGAACAGAGAGAACAGTGTTTTCTAAGTGCATGTGTTAAACTGGGTTCATCCATGTCAGGCTCTGAATAATGCCCTTTCTTTGCTTCCCATGTGACTGGGACTGCTCTTACATAACTCCCCAGTGCAAAATAGGATATTGTTTAACCCAGAGCTGCTGTTGGGGCAGCTCTCGCTGACTTGCTCCAGGGAGATGCAGAAATTTCTCAGCTTCAAATAAACCCAATGATTTTTTTCTTTCCTCCTCCTATTGCAGTAGATCTGATTTTGCTTAGAGCTGTTGCTCAGCAGCACTTCCCATGGCCTTGCCGAAGGGACAGCTCTTGGTATTGCAACCTGCTAGGATTAGCAGGAATAGTGGTAGAGAGGCAAAGGAAGAGTTACTGTCCATTTTTTATTTCTTCAGGCTCCAGCCCTGTTTAACAGGAGGAGGATGAAGGGCCTCAGGTCTGTACTTAGAGTCAGAGCAGGATGGACACAGAGGAGATTGGACCAAGGTCCAGACTGTTCCTGAAGAGCTGCTTGGGTTGCTGCAGGAGGGGACATGTCATCTCTGCCCCCTTGGTGGCCACTCTGGGTTTGTTCACCTTGCAGCTAGCTGGCTTGGTAGCTGATCTAAGAGGTAGCAGGACATCTAGCATTGCTCACTCATGTCTCCTCTTTTGGTGTCAGTTGCACAGAACAGAAGGTAGCGTTCAGGTCTCGGCGATGCTCACAGGTTTTTTTCTTTTTGCAGGAATCCGAAAAGGGGAGTAGGTTTAGGACTCTTGAGCTCCACGTCCCATTTTTGCACCGAGTCTCTAACTTACAAGCAGCCCACGTCCGCAGAGAGGATGCCCAAATGCAGATCACGGTGCAGGCTGGCACAAACGATTTGTCAGCTTGGTTTAGTAGAGCAAGAATGGAAACCTTGCTGTGTTACAAAGCACTGTACTGTGAAAGTTCCTAAACGAAGTGGCCTGTGCAGCATGTTGATGGCAGCAGTGGGAAAACTAGAGGCCTCGCTGCTGCCTTCTGCCCCGTTTGGCTGGGGGGATATGTGCTTATAAAGCAGCTCTCTTTCACAAACCACAGTGGAGTTGCTTTAATTTTTTGACCATTTGGGGAAACGGGCTGTGTGGCCAGCGTGGAGTTGGTGGACATATAAGGAAGCGCTGTATTGTTTGCTCCTTCTCTTTGGAGCTGCAGTCACTAAAAGCTGACATCTTTATGGGAGAACGTGGCACTCGGTGGGGTCTTTGCAGACTTGGTACAATTTAAAAGCCAACTGTTTTTTCTAAAGCTTAATCTTCAAAGTATTTTACAGAATCTGCATTCAGAGAGGAAGTGGTTGAGGCAACCGTGTGAGGCTTGAGAGTTTTTGCTGCTTTTGATTTTCTTAGCATTTGAGGGTGAGGATGCACTTGACAGTATCAGGCAGGGCCTCCCCTGAGCACAGCCATGACTTGGGGTTCTCGATACGAATCCTTGTGCCACAAAGGAGTGTTCACTTCAACTGGGGCAGCATCACCTGAGCTCTGCACAAGTCCAGCAGTGCGATCCTGACGTTGGGACTAGTCACCTGGGTTTATTTTTTGCATTAGCAAATGCAAAAGTTAGCTATGCATTTTGCATTGAATCCTTTGTTGCATTAGGAGGATTTTGCCTCCAGTGGTTTTGAGATTAATGTGAATGTTTTCTGGGTTTTAGGAGGTAGCAAAAGACTTGAAGTATGAACTTGACCTTAGCTCTCACCTAGTGAGAAGCTCCTGACTTTGCTGTAAGTGTATGTGGTTTGTTTTATTTAATTTACTTTTTCTGGAGTGTTTGTTTGTTTCAACTGGTTTGCCTTCAGCAAGTCTGACCTGCACCCAGAAAGGCTGAGTTTGTTTAGAGATTTTATTCACATCCTGTGATGTGCTGACAGTTCTTCTGGTGCTGTGGGATTTTTCTGTTTAATTTGTTCCCCTAGGTTCTTATAGCTGCTTCAGTTTTTGGAAGTCAGCTGACGGTTTGAAATCAAACTTGCTCCAAAATGCAGAATAATGGTGCCAATCCTTCTTTTTCTTGAAAATGATTGTTTTCCTCTCCCCCTGTATCATATCTAAAAAGAGGCAAAAGCTTTATAGCTTTATCCTGGTGCTGCCTCTACATTTTTTTCCCTCCCCTCCCTTCCTGAAATGGCAAAGCTGAGGCAAATGGGAGTGATTTCAGTAATTTAAGTAATTTCAAAGTTTATTGAAAACTCTATGTGCTGTGTGATCTTTCATATAAGGCTGTACCTGCCTTGTCCGAGGCTCTTTGTGTCCCAGAATATTTTAATACTGGCGTAAAGCCATAAAACCTCATGAAGCAGTATCACCATGGCATTAATTTTCTTTGTGGTGAATATAAGCACAGAAAGATGCCAGACATCTGAGGCTTCGTTCTCTTCTGACCCCACGTTCCCTGGCTGCTCGCTCCCAGTTTTTATGGGATGTAAAGAGTCTGCATGTCCCCTCTTGCCCATAGAAGACGCGTCCACTTGCCCAGCCCTGGGCAGATGTGAGATGAATCACTGGCAAGCTCTTACTGACCACGAATCTAGAAATGCTGCTGTTGAGAAAGACACTTGGAAGAAGCTCATCTTCCTGCCTTTGCAAATGGAGTCACTGTCAAGTGTTAAACTCTTCTCCCAGCCGCTCTTGCCCTGAGACACAAACATCTTCACTAAGAATTTAGATGTCCCTACAAAGAAGGACACCCTGAGATGTTTTTACTTAGCCCCCAGAGACATCTCTTATCTGGGCTTCCTCGCTGCCCTTGGTACCCCACTTCCAGTCTGCTTTTTCACAACAGATGGGTCGGGGTGCAGCCCCGACACCTTTCAATCAAACCAGAGAGGAACATTTTCAGCCCAGAGCCAAATTATTGCAGTGTATGGCCCCAAGCTTTTGAGCAGCTAAGACTGTCAGCAGGAAATTCTGCAGCGTAGCCAGAGATTTTGGATTCCTTCCTTCTGCCCACGAGAACTACTAAATGCGCTTAGTTTTTCAGGAGATGCAGTTACCTGCCCCATGATAACTGGGCTTGTCAGGTGCATCCTGAATTTGTCAGTGCTACTTTGCAAAGATACTAGAAGCTGGAAATGTTCCACAGTCTTTTTG